TCACCAAAACAACTCATTCTTTCTTCTATCTTGTTCCTTGCTGAGAGTAGAGTTCAGTGGTGCTGTCATTCTTGTGTGAGGTCGCCGGAGCAGAGAGATATAGTCGCCGGAAGTTTCGTCGGAAAATATTCAAAACCTTCATTTACCTTCGAGGTAAGCCCCTAGATATATCTAATGACTAGAATGTTCATATAGGTCGTTTCTACGTTCATAAATGGTCATTTAGTTGAGTTTTGTGTTTGACATGTTTGAAGAACCAAGAATCATAAACCTTGAATTTAATGTTAAAAATATGTTTTAATAATTCTAATATGATCTATGAACCTTGGAGAACATCTCTATATAGTTTAATTGAAGTTCGGTGACTAAAAATGGTTTTCCCGAAAAATGAACCGAGGTTGAAGATGAATGAACAGTGGCTGAAAATCCACAGAGTGGATCGATCCCCTTCATTGGATCGATCTTCTGGGAGTTTTTCTTCTAGTTGGATCGATCCAAAGGGCTGGCTCGATCCTCCGAAACTCTGGTCCGAAAATTTGTCTGAAATTGCTATTTTTGAGCTCTAAAATCCTATTTTTGATACCAATTGATTATAATTATTATAAAAATGAGTTTTCACAACAAAAATGATGTTTTTAACAAATTAAAACATTATGTGATGCATGACGGTAAGTTCGGGTGTTAACACTCGAGACTAGGCCGCTAATTGTTATTAAATGTTATGTTGAATGATCATTATGATGAACTATTATTGTGGCCAATTATGAATGATTAACCTACTGATTAGTATGATTATTGATTAAATCATGATTAAAAATGGATATAATGATGATTATGAAAATGATGTATATTGTTAAGGATATCTAGAAGAACTCTAAGATATACCNTTGACCAATTCATATTTCGGGGTTAAAACGTACGTACGGGATCCAGAACGGATATCACCCACCCGACAGTTCACTGTTCGGTTGGTACGTAATCCACATGACTCATAGGGTGGATTATCGATTCTTGTGTTCTGCATTAAACTATTTATAGTTTAAGGGTCTGGTTAGAAATATTGCCTTAGACTAGGAATAGTTAAGAGTTGTTATGAAATGATTTGGCCTTAGATTAAGAATAATTTAAGAGCATTGTTGAGATATTGAATATCAAATGACTTGGAATAAAATATTGAGAATATCATGAATGTTTGAATTATATATTGTGTGCATGATATCAAATGGTTGATTATGAATCGAGATTCAATTTATGTGGATGTTCGACGCATTAGATATGCTTACTCAGCTTTACCGCTGAGCGTGTAGTGTGTTTTATTTGCTACACGCAGATAAACAGAAAGATTAATGTGATCCTGGCGGCAGATGAGGCGAGATTGTCGGGATGGATGTGACAAGTTTGAAATGATTTATGATATGTCAAAATTAAATTCGCTTCCGCAATATTGTTGAATACTCCGTACTGTATGTGTTATGAAAAATATTATTGTGATAAATAAAAGTGTTTGAAAAGTTTTAAATTTTTACGATTACCAAGTTAAATACTTTAGTCCCAAAGGGGCTGCAGACCTGGACGGATTAGGGTGTTACACTTACATTACCAAACATGGTCATATACATTACCAAGAAAGTATAGTAATTTGCACATGTACACTGCCACATTACCACAATGCAAAGTGACATTACCACAGTGCAAAGTCCTATTCCGAGAAAAAAAACATGAAAGTCCTATTTTGATACTTTTCTCTATGTTTTAGTCCTATTTAGGATGATTTCTAAATTCCTTACTTATATATCTTACTCGCAATGAGTTAAATTGCTCACTTTTATATTCAAATTTATGGAAACTCTTATATACTTGGGTCAAAATCCTATTATAAAAAGAGATATATAATGAGTTGAAATGTGACATCCACCACCCATTTTCATTTTCCATTTCAATACATAGCCATTCAGAATTAATTATGCAATAAATAAGCGGAGAATCGTTCATCAACTTCTGCCTTTTGTTTTTAAAAGGATTGGTGGTAGGAGCATCCTATTTTTCAATTTCAATTGGGGCTATGGAAAATTAAGTTGATGATACATGGACGAGATCAGCTAGAGATGCAAGAGAAAAGATAAAAAGAATACTTCAAAAAAAGGATAGAAAAGGTAGGTACTTTAGATATTGTTTTATCTTAATATATTTTATTTTGTTTTATTGTTCTAAGGTAATTTGATACATAACATTTTTTATTTTTTTAAAATAACAAAATCAAACGAGATATTTTAGTGACTAGAATGTTTGTATTTAAAATTTATATGGTTGCTTTTTAATGAGCATTGAAAAATTTTCTTATGTTCATATCTAAATCGTTAGTATAGATAAATTAATTATTGTTAAATAAATAAAGTTTTATACAAAATTTATAATTAGATATCAATTTTATAATGATTTAACAAATTCTCCATGTGAAAATGAACACTCCAATAAAGGATAAAAATATGTGTACTTTTTTTTAATTATAGTCATGATATTTTATCAATTATAATCTGCATCCGTAAAAAATTAAACGTAGTTCACATTTTTCATATATAGAAATCATGGATAATTAAAATGTGTAATTGTTGATTTATCTAAGTATGCATATAGCTCACTAATTATTTTTTATCAATAGTTTATACATATTGAATATTTTAAATAATTGAATGCACGAATATTAACAAAGTTGAGTAAAAATATATTCATATTTAAAAAAATTTAAAAAAAATTCAAAACTTTGCAATAAATTTGATATGAAATGGGTGAATATAAAAAATGTAAGTACATATTTAAAAATAAAATCATATGCATGCGAGAAAAAAATTTAGGCATTGATACGGAATGATCAATGTAAATAATTCAAAGTTCAAATATAATTTTTAAATTAGAAAATTTACTTATATCTAAATATAATTTTTTAAATTAGAAAATTTACTTATATCTTAGAAAATTTTCATTTGTAGTATTAAAAATCATGTGAGAAATATATTTTCTTTATTTCGAAAAATAAATTTCATTGAAATAATTCAGAATCGACATAAATTTCTTTCGACCCCGTGCATGGCACGGGTCATAATACTAGTTACTCCCTCCGTCCAAAATTAAAATTTACATTACGCGTTACAATGTTTGACTGAAGTTATTTTCAAATCATTTTATATAAAAAATGGTGTAGAATTAAAAAATAAAAAATACATTTTAAAAAACTATATCAAAAGATCTACAAAACTAGAGGTGACATGACTATATTTTTGTACTTTCTATTTTTGTAGTTTTTCTATGTTTCACTTCTATTAAGGTGATTTTTTTAATTAATTTTTGAAGCTATAAAACGTAAAAAAAATGTATCTTATAAAAGAATACGAATATGAATCGAATATTTCAATTTAATATCAAATCGAATATGAATAGTAATAATTATTTGAATAAAAAACGAATATCAATACGAATAATGATATCATTTTTAAAATGTGAATAAAATTTCATAATATTCAATTCGATTCGTTCATTTTACAACCTTATTTGAACCACAAGACTCGTATAGACATATCCAATGAGAAAATCGAGCCATGTTTCAAACTGTTAAGGCTAAATACTATCGTTTGATAAATTTTTCAAAACGCTAACGCTAATCTCTAAAATTGATGCCAAGTGGAGATGTTATATTTCCATGAACGAATGGATTGATGTCGGCTAAAAGGGACCAAATATTAAACCAAAACTTGTCACCACAATATTTTTAAATTTTAATTACAGACAACCTCAAATTATATCTTAACTTTTTATGTTTATTATTTAAATTAACATCATCAAACCTATACCTGGCAAAAAGTGACCCGACCTGTTTTTGACCGGAGACCCGTCTCGAAAATATTGGCTTTTGAACAAAGGTTTTGCTGACCGAACCCGAAATTACCCGTTAAAAATGGACCAATGCCGACCGAACTCGAACTCGACCTGACCGACCCGCTAATGTGAGAATTTTTCAAAATGATATGCCTTAATATGTAATATAATGTAATAAAAATAAGATTTTAATTATATTTCTTTGCTTTTTATTTATTTTTTAATGTATAAATTTATATTTTCATACGAAATATTAACGATATCACATAATTATCTTACTTTTTTCAAAATTTTCTGCATATTTAGTTTATTTATTCGTAATATTGATAATCGGTCATAAAAATTACTTAAAATTCAAAAAATAAATGAAAGTCATAACCCGTTGGGTCGATCCGAACCCGATGGCATAGGGTCATGAACATGTAGCTCTCAACCCAAACTCGAACCCGAAGTAACCTGAATCCAAGATGATCGAACCCGAACCTGACATGACCGCCGTTTTGCAAGCTTTAATCAAACCCACTCTTACCTTGTAGAATTTCTAATGGTGAAATAATAAATGTTAGAGAGTATTATTTTAATTACATTAGTATTTCATATTTAAATAAATTGAATTAAAAATAAATTATACTATTGTACAAAAACAACAGAATATGTAAAAATTTATCCCAGCAGAATTTTTTTCACTATTCCACTTTGCCCATGTCAAAACATGAACAAATAGTACTCCATGTGTAAATAGTACTCCCTCTGTCTCGGAGTATTTTTTAAATTTTTTCTTTTTCGATCAAAATTAATAAATTTTGATTTCAAATTAAATAAAAATTATATTAAATATTGAAAAAAATACTTTTATTAGATTTATTATATAAGATATTTTCAAAATATTAATTTATCTGACTAATGTATAATATATATTTTATTTAATTATATGTCAAAAGTTTAAAATAATTAATTAAAAAAGTCAAAATTGGACAAATAATGTGGGAGTGGGAGGGAGACAGTAATGCCTTTTCCTTTTTCCCGAAACAAAACTGAAAACTGGGATTTCATATACATACAGGCAGACGGACACACTCAGAGATGGACTTATCTAGTACATGGCCATATAGTCCCCATACCTAAGTTTACTCAACATTAAATAGATCTTCATGAAGACCCATTGCCCAAAAAACCACCAATTTTCACGAACACTTTCATCAGCTCAAAACAACCATCACAAGTTCTGAATCCGAAGAAGCCACCCTATTTCACTTTCTGTCTTTTTTGAGGAGCCTTTAGAGATGTTGAAACTGCTGATCCTATTTGTTTTACTGATAATAATTGGGGTTTTGAGCTTCCCATTCTCTTCTTCAACTCCCGTAGATGTGAGGCCAGAGTCACCGGTTTCTTACCCAGTTCTTCCAGCTGAGCGAGAACCCATTTTTCAGCTTCCTTCAAGCTCCAGTGCCCATTCTCCAGGTAATTTGACAATGCTTGATGTGTACCGAGTGATGGGTTGTGGAACTTTCTCTGTTTTGGGTTTTTCTTTCCTTTCAATTTTCTTCTGAGATAAATCACACAGTTGCAGCGTTTATACTCCAGATATACATTGATGGGTCATTATGACTTCTGAGTTGGCTTTTTTTTTTTTTTGTGCTGATACATTGTGATGATGTTTCCTTTTCTTGTGTTTATTTTGTATACCTTTCCTTTTTTATTTTTCTTGAATAGCCTAATGGCAAACAATTCCCTTTTTTGATGGGATCTTCCTTAGGAGGGGTTCTCAAAAGTTCATTTTTTCTCTTATTGAAAATAGGGACTGCAGATGTCGGGGCAGTTCGGCATAAAAGCATGACAAAGAGCATTCGGATTGCTCTTATTATTTCCTCATCCATTCTTGGTGGGATTGTGCTGTTGCTATCTGGGTGTTGGGTTTACAGGCTGACTAAACTGAAGATTTCCAATGAAAATTGGAAGCAGAATGCAGGTTATTCAATACTTGTTTTTGTTACACCGTCTCCTAAGAAGATATAAATAAGGAATAAATAAGCAACATACCATTATTGAAATATTAAAAAAAAATGTTTACTTGTAGGATGTACCAAGAGACTTTCGTGTTCTCCGGTTAAGGATAAAAAATTGGCAACTCTTAAAGCCGATGGTCGGAGGGGCTTAGTTTCTCTTCTGGAATACCAATTGTTACTAGCTGCTACTAACAATTTTGCGGATGAAAATTTATTGGGGGGAGGAAGATTAGGACAATTGTATAAGGCAAGATTTGGCGATGGCTCTGAGGCAGCTGTTAAGAGACTTTCGTCTGGTGGAGAACATAATGCTCAAAAAGAATTTGAGGTACGAGTCGTTGACCCAAGGATAATATGGTCAATGTTGGGATTTATAGCTAAGAACCATCAATCTAAATTGCAGAATGAGGTTGGTTTCTTGAGTAAACGTCAGCACCAAAACATAGTTTCTCTGTTAGGGTACTCCATTCATGGCGATATGCGTTTCTTGGTGTATGAAATGATGCACAACAGTTCTTTGGAATTTCAGTTGCATGGTATGCATACTTCTTTGTATATGCTCAATTTGGAGGATTAAAATAAGGAATAGCGCAATAAGAACATATTTTTAACTTCATTTTCTCCACTAAATTTTAGGGCCTTCTCATGGATCATCTTTAAGTTGGCCTCTCCGGATGAAAATTGCCTTGGACGTTGCGAGGTACAATTATTATTAGTCTATAAATATACTTTGATACTTAAGTTTGTTTCATTTATACCAAAACAGCAATAAATTGTAAATCATTGATTGATGGTTGACCAGAGGATTAGAATACCTTCATGAGCGTTGCTACCCCACTGTGATCCACCGAAATCTCAAGTCATCAAATATACTTCTTGATAACAACTTCAACGCAAAGGTAATTGAAGATGATAAGGAGACAATGTCCTTTGAAAAAAAAACTAAACTGTCAATGTGTGTAACTCTTACTTCTTCTAAAAGTTGATGTTTTTCTTTCTTAATTTAGATATCTGATTTTGGCCTTTCCATAACTGGTGCAAACATAAACAAGAGCAATGCCAAAATTTCAGGATCACAAGGCTATGTTGCACCGGAGTATCTCTTGGACGGTAAGTAGATTTTCCACCCCCTTCTAAACTCCAGTTTAATGAGACCGAAAATATTTTCTTTTCCCAAACATATTTTTTTTCCACTTCATAGAAACAAAACTGCTAATATTATTTTCACCGGGGGCAGAGAGACATATATACAAGCAATCAAGCATGAACATTGGTTGTGAAACATGCCATGCTATGTTTCTAAAGTTCTGCTACTTTGTTATTCACAAGGGATAGATTTGGTTGGAAGAACATCGATTCCTTTTCTGCCCGTATGAAAATGAAATGTGTACAAAAGAATCACCTCTATCATAAGGCTAATTAATTTATCGTTTCCAAAACGGTATAAATGTTAATCAAAGATACGTAATAATATACTTTCTTTTCTGCTTGTTTTCCCCTTAAAACCGAAAGAAGGGTGTGTTTTGATCTTGATTGGAGTTCGTTGCTTGCAGGTAAATTAAGTGATAAGACCGATGTGTATGCTTTTGGCATTATTCTTCTAGAGCTTTTGCTTGGGAAAAGGCCCGTGGAGAGAGTGGGAGAAACTAAGTGCCAATCATTAGTTACATGGGTGAGAGGAAATCAGTTTAAGAAACACCATATTCTAGTAAAGAATGAATTCCCATTAATTGTTCATCATGCAGGCTATGCCCCAGCTTACTGACCGATCAAAGCTTCCTAATATTGTTGATCCTATCATTAAGAACACAATGGACGTAAAACACTTGTATCAGGTCTGTTCCCGAGAATCTTTGTCTAACAAGTCATCTATTAAAAAGTAGTGAAATTTGCACTAAATAGAACTAAAGCATAGGTCATTTTCCAATGTAGGACTTAAACTTTTTTATTCTCTAAATAGTACTCCCTCCGTCCGGAAATGTTCTTCCCATTTGACTTTTTACGGTCTCCAAGATTGCACTTTGACCACTAATATCTTTATTTATACATGGATATATTTTATAAAAAATTGATATTTGAAAACTATATTTCAAAATAAATATATTCATATTAAAGTTATATCGTAATACAATGTATTTTTTCCACATATCATAGTCAAAATTTACAAACTTTGACCAAGAAAAGTCAAATGGGAAGAATATTTCCGGACGGAGGGAGTACTTAATAATGTCTAGTGGGAGGAATAATGTTCAGTGATGGCAGACATTTACTTGAATAATGACTAATGGATGATGACCAATGGTCCTACATTGGGAAATAAAAACATATAGTCCTATATTGAGAAAGTCATTATGTTTTAGGCCTATTTAGGTAAATTCCTCATTAGATTATTATTCTTATTATTCTTGTTATAATTATAAGAGTAAATTCCATAAATAGTCCATCATAACAAGAGGTTTTTGTTTTCCATATAGTCTCCAATTCTAAAATATTACATTAGTGGTCCTCAATATTTGATAACTATTCCATAATCGAGTGCTTCTTTGGTGCACCTTAGGTGCACACAATTTTTGTGGACCTTCTCACCTAAAAAAATTATTTTTTTATTTTTTTATTTATAAAAATAGATGCTTATTTAAGCAGTAAAGAAATGCTTTTTTTACTCCTATGTAGGTCCATGGTGGACCTTAGGTCCACCAAAGAATTTGCCTCCATAATCAAACCTTTAAGAACTATATGTGGAAAACATATTTGGGTCAAAAGACTAATTATGGAATGATTCTCAGATATAGTTATACAGAGGACCACGAACGCAATATTTTAGATTTGGAGACCTTATGTGGAAAATCCCATGTTATGAAGGACCGTTTCTAGAATTTACTCTAATTATTATTAATATTATATATGTAATACGGAGTAATTTACATTATTAAATAGGTTCCTTTTTGCATAGGTTGCTGCAGTAGCTGTGTTATGTGTGCAACCAGAACCAAGCTATCGACCATTGATAACAGATGTATTACACTCTTTCATTCCGCTTGTACCAAATGAGCATGGTGGGTCCCTTAGGGTAGTTGATTTTGCGCTACCCACCACCGGATTATAGCTTCCTACATTATCTTCGATCTCAGACCCTTCAAATGCATTTGCTACTTGATTACACTAGGGAGACATGACAATGATATACATGGCATTTTGTTAACCTGTAAATTGAGAAAGTATTCGCTAGTTCAACAGGCCTTTCAATCATCTGTATGTATTTATTGAGTGGGTATGTACAGATTACTAAATATGATGTTGAAAACAATGAATAAGGTTACTTCCTGTTTGCCCTTTGCTACTTCTTTGTTTGAAAATAATGAATAAGGTTGCATGGATCAGAATCACAGACAATAGTGGGGATACCAGTGAAGAAGCATAATCCATGAAGAACACTCTGGAGTCTGCAGAACAAAGAATGATTGAACCCGCGTTTCGGAAGAATTATTGAAGAATGAAAAAAAGAATGTGAGGTTTGGCTTGTAATATGTTGTTTTTGCTCTTTATCACAAGTGCATACTCCCTCTGTTTCACAATATTGGGCTCACTTTCCTCTTTCGGTTGTTTCATATTACTCGCCCCTTTTCCTCTTTTCAAAAATATGCATTTAATAAACCTACCCACCCTAGCTAGCCCACTTTTTGTTTCTCTCACCCTTTATTTCTTTTTCCCACCTTACTTTTTTTCTCCCACCCTACCTTTTCTTAAACTATACTTGCCAACACAAACGTGGCGCCGTGACCATTATTGTGAAATTGAGTGAGTGATTAGAAGAATCTTGAATCGTTGATAGACTCATAAGAAAGTGTACGAGTATTGCCGAGTCACATGATCAAAGGAATCCATTTTATTAGCAGGAAAGAAAATATAATTGTTTTACAGAATCGTATATATGAGTTGTTGTAATGAATCTTAAACTACCTAATACTCTCTATGTGCTATTGCATAACAAAAAACACCACCCCAACAATCTCTGTTGGATGTTATTAACAACTCCCTTCATCGTTATCAACTGTTGACAAAGAATCTGTCAAAAGTAGTGGATCAAAAATTGTTTTTCCCACTTGATATTCCTCAATCTCCATCTCTCCTCAAACAGTGTAGTGCTGCTGGATTGTTTCAATGTCAAGACCTTTAAGCTTAACCACAGACTCAACGTGCCCCTTCAATGTGTGAAGCTCCCTCAACCTGTTCCAGGAACCAAAAATGTAATTCTTGCGTTAAACACAATAGGCATTTAATATGATGGCGATGATAATGAATTTGTTTTCTTGCATTGTTTACCTTGCAACTTCAGCACGTCGTTTGGCTTGTTCTGCAATCTCAGAGAGTTCGGAATGGTTTTTGTCATTGTAGTGCTGAGAAGCATCCGAAGACTGAAGTCCATGCAACGTGCGCTGAGCCATGGCCCACTGTGCTTCCCTTTCTCCTCTCCCGTAATCCTTCTTATTCGTGAAAGCAGTCTGCAATTAACATAAGACCAAAAATTAGGACAAACATATATGCATACATGCAAGGGTAGTAATAACACCTTAGAATAGATCATGTTTGGAGATCTAGTAAAAGCCTTTTTTCAATTTTCTTAAATAAGCACTAAGTGGTTTTTTTTCTTTTTTCCCCCCTTTTGAGATCTAGTAAAAGCCTTTTTTCGATTTTCCAGCCAAACACATCTTTTTGAAGTAAAAATACCTTTGCTCATCTAAAAAGTACTTGATCTCTGAAAACAAGTCATCTTAAATGCTCTATTAGTTAGTGAGTAGTTTGATCCTATATTTACCTTTCTGTTGAGCACATTGTCCCATGCCTTGCCTTTGTGCACATATCTGATGAAGAACTTCAATATGTCTAATGGGAGGTAGGTAATTATGCTGTATACCCAGATCACACAAGCCCATCCCCATCCAATGCCATGGATATTAGCGAATTCCCAGTTTGAATATACAGCGATTAAGGTAGCAATCTTGTTCACACAACACAACACCGAGAGAGAGAGAGAGACAGAGAGCTTGTTTATTAGAATTCCAGAAACAGTCCATATCGAAAGAAAAAAAAACAGTGGGGACTAGAACACGTGCGGGTAACAACTTACCAGCTGTGCTATTACAAAAGCACCCACTAGCAGTAGACCGGGGCGTTCAACAAAAGACCAACTTCTTGACCGGGTGACAAAAATGAGTGCTTGACTCACGATGCTGACTTGCAGATATAGAGCTGAATTGAGCTCCGGGTAACTCTCCCTGATTGATCTTACATGAAAGGTATCCTGCCGCAGGTAGAGCATTTTCCCTTTCAGCAGATGATATACACAAAGAAGCGGAGGATGAAGAGGTAAAGAAGAAAGACAAGAGTGTTTCTTACAGTGATGAAATCTGACTGGTGAGCAGCCCAGAAGAAGACAACTGTCATGACCGCCAAGTACGTGCCAAGAACAATCCCAGTTGTGAAAATCTCTTTGAGTTTCCAGGAGTCAGGCATTGGGGACGGCTTCACCTTGTCCTTGGAAATAGTCATGATGGTTCCATCATTGAGAATGGCAATGATGAGAACCATGAATGGGGAGAAGTCGAATTCCCAGATAAGGGCAATGAGCATGAAGCCTAGGACGATTCGGACAGTTATGGAGACTGCATAAATGGTGTAGTTTTTCATCCTCTGGAAGATTGCTCTACTCGTTAGGACAGCGCTAATGATCACACTCAGGCCTGGCTCTGTAAGGACTATATCGGAAGCGCTCCGTGCAGCATCTGTCGCATCTGCAACAGCGATGCCTATATCTGCTTTCTTCAATGCTGGAGCGTCGTTCACACCATCTCCGGTCATCCCACATATGTGCTTTCTCTCTTGCAGCTTTTTCACAATCTCATATTTGTGCTCTACATGCATATTACATATATAAAGTTAGTTACATACAAGAAAGGTTCACTACACGAACATATAAAGCCATTGATCACTTTGATATTGACTGAGGGTGTGTTTGGTAAGGATTACTTGGCTACATTTTTGGAAGAGGAAAACTGTTTCATAACATCTATTTCAGTGAACTTTACCTGGAAAAACTCCTGCGAAGCCATCAGCCTTCTCAATGAGCTCTTCAACAGGGAGGGTAGCAATGCTTTCATCCTTGTGTTGTCCAAGAAGAGAGGAAGAGGGATACATGTTGGTTCCCATGCCAAGTCGTCGACCTGTCTCCTTAGCAATGGCTAGCTGATCACCAGTGATCATCTTAACATTCACGCCGAGGTCTAAAGCGCGTTTGATTGTCTCTCCGCTGTCGTGTCTTGGTGGATCAAATAGAGGCAACAGACCAACAAAGATCCATGGTCCTCCCTTTCCGTCCTTTGTCTTTTCTGGTACTGTCTGTTGCACACACAAAAACATGTGCCTGTCAAAGATTCATGATAAAAATCTCATAGTGATTGAGTAAGATATGAAGAAGAGTGTCTTTCTGAATGACCTGTTGGGAGACAGCAAGAGAACGAAGGCCACGATCAGCGAACTTGTCAATAATGCTATGGGCTTTGTTCTTTTCATCACCTTTCAGCTCGCAAAGCTCCACGATCTGGTAGAGAACGCCACGTGACCGAGAAAGTTAGCGATTTTTTTTTAATTTCTTTCCATGAGTTGGCTTGAAGACAGATGTGGAGTAATATATATTTACCTGTTCTGGTGCACCCTTGCTGACCCTATGCCAATTCCCATTAGAGTCTATGTAAGTGATTGCTGTGCGCTTCTCTACAGGATTGAAGGGAAGGAAATGCACCTCCTGGATTCCGGCCCTTGCCTCCTTGGGATCAGCCAGCATGCCCACAATACAAGCATCGATGGCATCCTGATTCTCCACCCTGGAAGCCCTGGCTGCTTGAAGAATTAAGCCTTCTCTGTCCATGTCTTTCACAAACACCTCAACTAGATTTTTGTCCACCGTGAGTTTGTTGAGGGTGAGGGTCCCGGTTTTGTCGCTGCAGAGGACATCCATCCCAGCCATTTCTTCAATGGCGGTCATCCTCTTGGTGATGGCTCCCTGTTGGGAGAGGCGGTGGGACCCAATCGCCATAGTCACCGATAAGACGGTTGGCATGGCAATGGGGATGCCCCCAATGAGGAGAACCAACAGATTGTCAATCCCATCTCTATATCTCCTATGCTGGATTGGGTACATCACCACAATCTCTACCACAATCCCCACAGCAATGGTGCAGATACAGAAGTTACCAATGGAGGTCAACACCTTTTGGAAGTGACCCACTTGGTTAGTACTGTCGACGAGATGAGCTGCTTTGCCAAAGAAGGTGTGGAGCCCGGTTGCTATCACAACCGCCTCAATCTCACCCTGCTTGCATGTAGAGCCCGAAAAAACTTCATCCCCCGGATTCCTGGTTACGGGCAGTGATTCACCCGTTAGCGCGGATTGATCAATCTTGAGCGGGTCCCCTTGGAGAAGACGCGCATCAGCGGGGACAATATCTCCCAACTTGATGCTTATCACATCACCTGGGACCAGAATTGCAGCTTCCTGCTCACACCACTTCCCATCCCTCAAAACCTTCAAACGAGACACATAGAAAAACACACTGGAGTCAAAAACCACCCGGATCTCAAAACCCCAAGACTTTTATGTGTTGGTTCTCGAAACCCCAAGACTTGTGTGTGTGTGTGTGTGTACCTTAGTCTTGGGAGCAAGACCAGCCATGAGAGCAGCAGCAGCATTGCCTGCATTGTTTTCTTCAATGAAGCTGACAGTGGAGTTGATGACCAGCAAAACCACAATTCCAATGAAATCCTGCCAATCTGGCGGCTTCCCCTGAAAACACCAACCAAATCACACTTTCTTATCAGGAAATTAAACCACATATGCTCCCTAATGAAATTGTGAGATTCATTTATTTTCTATACATATTATTGTATTCTTGCCAGAGTACTTTTTAATTAATCACAATATATAAGTAGTCATGAATTGAACAAACAAACCCCTCCATTGGCCAGAGCGATAGCTATGATAGCAGCGCATTCCATCACCCACGACAACGGATTCCACATGAATCCCAAGAATTTCAGAAGCTTGCTTTCCTGTTTTTTTTTTAATAAATAAATTACGAAAGCCAACATTAATTAACACACATTGGCCTTGACAGTAAAACAAAAAAAAGGGCAATGTGGGTATTATATGTATTGAGAATTAATGCCTTTTTCTCTTCAAGCTTGTTCGGGCCGAAGACTTGAAGCCTATGTTCAGCTTCCTCGGTTGATAGCCCGTCCTTCGTACAACGTAGGTGCTGATATACCTCTTCCACAGGTATACGTTCCTGTACGTTAATTCAAAAATTAAGTACTTGAGAGGTGTGGATTTTGAGGTTATTTAGACTTAGGCTCCGTTTGGTACACGGAATCCAAATCATGGAATTGGAATTAGATGCAACAATTTCAATTCTGCTGTTTGATAGCACAAAAATATGTGGATTTGAAATTGGCAGTGCCAAAAATGTATTGGAATTGGAGAATTCAATCTCATCCAAATCAAGTCCATAGAATTTAAATTTCAATTCAATTCCTATTCCATCAATTCCGTGTACCAAGCGGATCCTTATTGTATGGAGTAATAATGCAATGTAGTGTAAACAAATGCGTAGGTATGTATAAGTGTAATATAATTAATCATGCGATGCCAACTAAAAGAAGATTGAGTAATCGAGAACCAGTTATAACAAACTAATGGATAATTTAAATAGAAGAGAGAGACATAAAATTAATTAATAAATTAACTAATTAATTAACTAGAGCACGTACAAGATCCACATTCTCATTCTTGATGTCTTCCAACGTAATCCGGTCCGCCGCCGCCATTAGTGATATGATTCAACAATGATTTATCTTTTTGCTGTCTTAATCAAAATGATGACAATAACAACCCACTGAGGTTTAAGATTAATATTGCTTGTTGCAATTGGACTTTCATTAAATAATAATTAATAATAATAATGAATAGTATGAATATAATCAACAGCAGTGTTTTCAACTCAGCAGCAAAATAATAATAACAACAACAATTATAACAAGGGGTTGGGAATTTGGGATGTGTAATAATAAGTTAACGGATATGATATGATAATATATAGTAATATATATATATGTACTTGGTCTCTCTTTATTTTATTATTATTATTCTTAGAATTGAATAATAATAATAGTAAAATTAATGTGGTATTATTATATAATTTAGAAGGGATTGGAGGTGTAGCAGGACCGGGAAGGATTAGTGGGAATATATAAATAAATAAGAAAATGAGAGAGAGAGAGAGAGAGAGAGAGAGAAGGACGAGAGAAATATAATGACGACCATGGAGAGTAGAGAGGCACTCTCAGCCTAGTAGCTAATAAAAAGTAAAAGGGAAACGAGTGAAGGAGCGGGGAGTAGTGTTTGATTGATTGTGATCAACTGCTTCCCTTTCTCTCCGTCTCTTACTCTCTTTTTGTGCACCTCTGCATGACCTTTTCTACTCTGCCCTCAACTAACTGCATGCATATTATTATTATTATTATATGCTTCCTCTATCCTAGCTAATTGTTACCATCCAGCTGGGCCACACACCATGCAAATTAATTCTTATGTGGTCCTTGGGTCTGACACTTATTTTGTGTACCTTAGTACGTACATGAACACCATGAAAGAGTTGGACTTTTTGCAAAAAATAAAATCTATATGTAAGCCCATACAAAAATTGAGAAAGTTCTTACTACATTTGTCTCAGTGTCTTTGTCCAATTTGATCTTTTTGAGTCAAACTGAGCAAACTTTATTGAACTTCAATTACTCTCAATTTGCTTTGTATCGTATATTACTATAATGTAATAAAATTTTGAAAATTCTCTACAACATTTATCAAATACAATCATTTCTATACTAATATACATTACGACCACAAAAGAACAAGTCTTTACTCTCATTATACGAGTAAAACTTGCATAATAAGAACTCGTATCTTCGACAAAAGAAACCTACTTTCCCGTCCCAAAAAGGTTCTATCTTCAGCTTGTGATATTTTGTTGAAAAAATACGCAAAGGAATTAACACAAAATTAATGGGCGAAGCTCCCATGGCATTGGAGTTCAATGTGATAGGATGACTCATAAAATTGATGGTTTCCACCTCTTTATCCTATAGGACGTACCTTAGGTGCTACCAACTCTTCTAAAACTATTTGGTGTTAGAAGAAGCGCCTGCAACCCTAGCCTTATAGTGCATGCAACACGCACAAGCGCCCATGACACTCGAGTGTGACTTGGCCCATATAGCCTCCATCACGGGACAATTGATGCACACATGACCAACAATGCACCCCTCAAACTCGTGCCCTTAGCGCCGATACCGATTTTAGAACCTCATGCGTACCAACTTTTCTAAAACCAATTGGTGTTTGAAGAAGCAGATACCCTAGCCTTATAGTGCATTTAACACACACAAGCTCCATGATATTCGAGTGTGAGTTAGCCCAGATAGCCTCTACCACGGACAATTGATACACACATCGCCAACATATCCCTCGGTAAACCCCCCAGGGTTGTAAACGAACTGAATAATTTTGATTCGATTTCTGATTCGTATTCGTTTGTATTGATTCATATTCGTAAAAAAATTGAATCTGAATACAAATAAAATTATGGGAATAAAATGATCGGCGAGGATTAAGGGAATTAAATGACGGAAAAATGATTAAGGATGTAATCTAACTTTTAACATAGATATGATTGAATTATGAAAAAGGATTCATTGACTTCACGTATTTGCTTCTTTAACTTGAATGAATATGATTATGAATTATTCTTTGAAATCTACGTAGTTGTACCACTCAACGGTTTCGTTGAGCGTACAGTTGTCTTTGTTGTGTGACTGTGTGTAGGTAATAAAGCTACGACGTCTATCCGGAAGATGCTGAGGCGCGAGAGTTGGCAGAAAGATGCGGGAACTATTTTTAATATTTTGAAATACTTTGGGGCTTGAATACATATATGTAAATATTTTGAATCTTATTCAGCTTCCGCAACGTTTAAATTAAATTACTACGAAAATTATTTTATCATGTTAAGAAAGTCACGTTTTAAATATTTCTAAATTATTACCTAATATACTTTTCTCTAATTATGAGATGTTACTTCACCAAATTTCTAACGCTCTGGTCCGCTAACCCGCGTGAACCGGTTATGCGAATCGGGGTGCTACAACTTGGTATCAGAGCAAAAAGTTTTAAAAACGGTCTTCGGATCAAAGTGACTTAAGGCCCGCATCCGCGCTTTCCACGTTCTCTGCACTTTGGAAGGTAATTCGAAAAGTCTATAATATGCTTAAGTACACATATTGGAATAAAAATGAATATTACTTGAAATACCAAGATATGGTGAATTACTCCGGACACTAAGGGACTTGACTAGTCGAATATTAAAAGAAGGAAGGAATAGTGGAATCAGCGATGATTACGAATGTCACAATCAGATCATGAATGAAGAGTAGATGCAATATAAATTTTTGAAAATAGGATCCATGTCTAATTTATTAAGGGGGAGAGACGTCTTACGTCTCAAACCTGTTATAGATATTCGGACAAAAACGTAAGGATTGAGTGAGATGATAATCTTTGTCTTCGATAGGATCGAAGAAAATGTAGTAAACTAAAAGAGATGAGATCTAGTAAAATAAAGTGCATATTAATTTAATTTATACAGAATGGCACGACGTACGAATTAATGAAATGCGTAAGAGACATATTTTCTCAAATAAATTGCAGGGAATATACAGTTTAACAAGATACATATTGACGATGGAGATAAATATTTTCTAATTTGCACTGGCCATGCAGCTTTGAAAAATATTTTTGACCAACACATAATTTTCACAGACAATATTATAATAACAAGAACACAACATCGATGATAAAGCTACGAAAGAAAGGTTACAGATGCAACTCTAAATCTAGTCCACTGGGGTTTGCAAACTCTTCATAGTTAGCCCTAGGACCCGGAAATGCTTTAACAAACTCTACTTTGTTTACTAGTTCGTCGAGAAAGAAAGAAGAAATAAATAGTTTTCTCTGGTTGAGAGCCATTAAATTTTGTCTCATTACATCATCTAGAAGCTTAAGAAGGTTATCGAAATCACATCAATATTCAAGCTGTAACACCCTAATCCGTCCAGGTCTGCAGCCCCTTTCAGACTAAAGTATTAACTTGGTAATCGTAAAATTTAAAACTTTTCAAACACTTTTATTTATCACAATAATATTTTTCGTAACATATACAGTGCGGAGTTTTCAATATTGCGGAAGCTTAACAAATCATAATTACAAACACAATTTGTTTATGTTCTTTAATTCAAAACCATCACATCCATTCCGACAATCTCGCCTCCGTCTGCCTCCAGAATCACGTCACATCATTCTTTCTATTAACCTGCGTGTAGCAAATAAAACATACTACACGCTCAGCGGTGAAGCTGAGTAAGCATATCTAATGCGTCGAACATCCATATAAATTGAATCCAAATTCATAATCAAATCATTTGATATCATGCACAAAGTATTCAGTTCAAATATACAATAATCAATTTT